TACTCACGTTGTTGACCAGCACATCAATGCCTCCAAAGCGCTGCGCTGCCTCTCGGACGGCCTGCTCGACATTCTCCTCGCTGCGCACATCCATCAGCACGGGCAGCGCGCGTGCGCCGCTGCCCGTCGTGCGTCCCACGGCCTCCACCTCGGCGGCGGCCGAGTGGATGGTGCCGGGGAGCGAGGGGTGCGGCGTCGCCGACTTTGCCGCGACGACGATGTTGGCTCCGCGGGCGGCGAGCGCAAGGGCGATGGCGAGGCCGATGCCGCGCGAGGCGCCGGAACTGGCGCCGCCGCAGCAGGACGAGCGGCGTCAGACGCAGCAGGGCAAAAGGCAGCACAGCCAACGCACATGAAGGCCGTGCGGCCCGCGAGGGGGAAGGACATGGCGGGGGGCGAGCGCAGAGAGGAGCGAGGTGCGGCGAGGGGCGGGCGATGGCGGAGCGCAGGCACGAGCGGCGAGCCTGGCAGCGAGCGAGGCAAGCATCAATGCGGGGCGCTGAAAGCGAAGGCGGCCCGAGCGGCAGCAGGCGCGGCGGCTTCCCCGCAGCCCGAGTGCCGAAGGCGGCGCGGTGCCGGGCCGTGCGTCAGCAGATCCGATGTGCATCCATCCACGCCGCATCGCAGCGCAGCGCATCGCATCGCATCCACCTTCCACACCACCACCATGCTCGACGCCACCGTCGCGCCCGACTGGCTCGTCGCGCTCTTTGCCCTCGGCGGGCGCGACGTGCCGTCCTGGCTGCCGCAGGCGCTGGCGTGCGTGCTGCTGCTCGCGCCGCTGCCCTTTCTGCTGCTCTTTGCGCTGCGCGCGCGCCCGCGGCAGACGCGCGTGCCGCCGTACCGCGAGCGCGTGCTGCTCCTCGGCGCCTCTTCGGGCGTCGGGCGTGCGCTGGCGCGGCAGTACGCGGCGCGCGGATGCACCGACCTTGTCCTCGTCGGCCGCCGAGAGGCCGAGCTGGAGAAGGTGCGCCAAGAGTGCGAGGAGCTGCGCAGCAGGGGCGAGGAGTGGGAGATGAGCGGCGAGGCGCCCGGCTGGGAGGCGCGCGCCAGGCGCCGCGCGCGCGTCATCGTCGCCGACTGCACCAAGCCCGAGGACGTGCTGCGCATCCGAGACGAGTGCCTCGAGGGTAAGTGTGACGCCGCGCTGCTGTCCCCCGGGCGCGACCAGCTACTCACCTCTGGCCGGCAGCTCTCGAGGGCATCGACACGGTGCACCTCCTCTTCGGCCTCGCGGCGCTGCGCCCCATTCTCGCCATCGCCGGCGTCGACCCGCTCCGCAGGGTGCCGGCGGCCTTTGCCCGCAAGGGCTCCAAGCACCGCGGCGAGCATGCCAGTCTCTCGGGCCTGCAGGCCGTGGCCAAGGCCAGCCACACGATCCTCGATGCCAACATCGCGGCCACCGCCATGTGCGCCACGGCTCTGGTACGTATGCCGCCCGCATGGGGACGGCGGATTTTGCAGCTGCTGCTGATGGTCGCCGCGTCGTTTCTTGCCAGCTGCCGCTTCTGCAGCTCAGCTCCGCCGAGCCGGCATTCAGCACGCTCGGCTCGCTCGCCGGCCTCGTCCCGGCGCCCACACGTGCGCTGTACGGCGCCTCCAAGGCCGGACAGCACATGCTGCTGCAGGGGCTCGCGCTCGAGGCCGCCGCGCAGGCCAAGGCAGACAGCAGGCGCGCACACGTGCGCTTCCTGCACGTCCTGCCCGGCACCATCGCCACGGGCTTCCGTGCCGGCGCCGTCGATGGCGCGCCGGAGGAGAGTGGCGCGCGCGACTCGAGCTGGGACAGGGAGAGCAAGAGCGACGTCCTGACGGCCGAGCACGTCGCCCAACAGACCATCCTCGCCGTCGATCGCCAGACGCAGGGAGAGCTGCTGATGCCGCCAAAGTACCGCTTTGCGCGCCTCGGCATGGCCCTCTTGTGAGTGTGCGCTGCCACGACAGGAGAGTGTGTGTGGCGGGGGCTCACCCATTGCTTGTGTCTTCCTTGCGCACAGCCCCAGGGTGCTGGCAAAGGTGGCGCACAGGAAGTACGAGTACTGAAGCAGCGGAGGGGTAGGGGCTTGCGGGTGTGCAATTTGCTACAGGAGCCTCAGCGCTCGGTCGCAAGGTCGCGAACAGGACGGGCAGGCGCGTGAGCCAGCTGCGGCAGCTGCGGCTAGTGCGCCCTGGGGGTTCTGACTGCAGAATGTGGCAGCGGCTCGACAGCAGTGCCATGCCCTGCCTTGGAATCGCTGGGATCGGGGCAGCACAAGCAAGTCTAGGACGAGGTGAAGTAACGCCACGGCATGCTCCCACGCCCCCCACATCAGGCCGCAGACGGAGAGCGGCCACGTGCACCCCAGACTCGACTCACAGCGGCACAGAGAGCACAGCGGCGCCCTCTTATGCTGCTCATCGGCGTGCGCCGCGCGGGCCCGCCATTTGCCATCGCGCGTCTGCGAGAATGCCGAGGCCGCGCCCGCAAGACGGCTGCTGCTGCTGCTGCGCTTGCCAATCGCAGCGGACGCGTGAAGCATGAAGTGAAGCACAAGCTGAAGGGTGCTGCGAGCTTGGAGCGGGCTCGGCGGGCGTCCATGCGCAGCATGAGGCGAGCGGGAGCCGAGGAGGCCGAGGAGCGCCGTTGCGGAACCGCTGGGCGTGCGAGATCGCGCCAGAGAGAGGCACGCGAGCAGCACGCCGCACTGCCGCGTGCGCGGCGACGATGACGAGCGGCTCGATCGCGCGTTGCGGCGCAGCGTCCAGCGCCTCTCAGGGCCCGCCGGTGCAGTGCCCGCGCACGTGGCCGGGCAGCGCGCACCACACTGCCCAGGTGCCGCGACGGACGCTCACGCGATGCGGTGCGATAGCCGGCCTTGGCGCTGACGACGGGCGGCCGAGCACAGCCTCGCTCACACGGGCGCCTCGGCAGCGGAGCGCGTGTTGGGCGCGCCAAGGCGGACAGGCACAGCAGGCACTGCGGGGCAGCGCGCGGCACTCCTCCACGGCCGGCACCTGCGCCGCGCACCGCCTATCGGCGCCCGCCTCATAAGCAGCGCAGCGCGGGCCACCTCCTCCGATCCCGCTTCCACACCCCCTGCGGCCGCACCGCACACGCCCAACCTCACGCGCACCACCACCACCCCCCCTCAATCGATGGCCAACAATGCCGCGCACGTCTCTGCTGCCGCCCACGGCAGCGCGCAGCATGCCGCAGCCGACGGCGCCGCACGCCCCGCCGACGAGCCCGAGCCGCCTGATACGCGCGCTGCCCTCGCCGGCAGCACGCACCCCACGCTCGCACGCTCCCTCAGCACCCTCTCCAGCGGCGCCAGCAGCTCCGCGCCGCCCTCGCCGCACTCTGCCCGCGCGCCTCCTGCCGGCGCCCGCGCCGCTCGAGTGCTGCAACCGCATTCACTGACGCGTGACGCCGACACGCTGCTGCCGCACATTCTCTCCGCCGACGCCGTCCTTGCGGCGCTCGACTCGCACGCCGACGCCGGCCTCACGCCCGACGCTGCCGCGGCGCGCCTCGCGGCCCACGGGCCCAACACGATCCGCGAGAGCAAAAAGGTCTCGGCGGGCGACATTCTGCTGCGCCAGGTGGCCAATGCGCTCACCGTCATCCTGCTCGCCGCCATGGCGCTGTCGTTTGGCGTGCGCGACTGGGTCGAGGGTGCCGTCGTCGCCGTCGTCATCCTCGTCAACGTGGCCATCGGCTTCGTGCAGGAGTGGCGCGCCGAGCAGACGATGAACTCGCTGCGCACCCTCTCGGCGCCCACGTCGACGGTGCTGCGTGCCGGCGCGCTCCTCACCGTGCCGAGCCGCGAGCTGGTGCTCGGCGACGTCATCGTCTTCGGCGCCGGCGACCTGCTGCCGGCCGACGTGCGCCTCATCGCGCCGCTCGTCAACCTCGAGGTGGATGAGGCGTCGCTCACCGGCGAGTCGGTGCCCGTGGCCAAGATGCTCGACGCCCTCGAGCACGGCGCCGAGCTTGGCCCGGCGGACCGCATCAATCTCGCCTACGCCGGCACCGTCGTGACCAAGGGCCGTGGCCGCGGCGTCGTCTGCGCCACCGGTGCCACGACGCAGCTCGGCGTCATCGCCGCCGCCATGGACACGCGCGCCGAGCGCCGTGCCGCGCAGCGCGCCTGGCCGTGGTACCGCCGCGTGTGGGAGACCATGGCGCGCTTCCTCGGCCTGCGCGACGGCACGCCGCTGCAGATCAAGCTCTCGCTCTTCGCCCTCGTGCTCCTCGGCCTGGCCATCCTCTGCGTCATCATCGTGTTCAGCGTCGCCACCTTTGAGCTGACCGACGAGGTGAGTGGCGCTTCGCGTGTGCCAGGCCCATGCATGTGCTCACCCGTCTGCAGACCATCCTGTATGCCGTCGCACTCGCCATCGGCGTGCTGCCCGAGTCGCTCATCGCCGTGCTTTCCATCTGCTTCGCCGCCGGCGCGTCGCGGATGGCCAAGTCCGGCGTCATCGTGCGTCGTCTTGAGGCCCTCGAGGCGCTCGGTGGCGTCGACGTCATCTGCTCGGACAAGACGGGCACCCTCACGCTCGGCAAGATGGTCGTGCGCGAGGCGTGGCTGCCGGCGCGCGATGCGGCAGACGGCCACAGCTTCGGCGTCGACCACAGCGGCCCGGCGCTCGAGCCTGCCGGGCAGGTGTTCCAGGGCGAGACGCGCTTCGACGCCGGCACGTACCCGCCGGCCATGCACAGTCTCGTCGAGGCCGCGGCGCTCTGCAACGTCGCCACGCTCGCGCAGGACGACGCCGGCACGTGGTCCGGCCGCGGCGACCCGACCGAGCTGGCGCTGCAAGTCTTTGCGCACAAGTGCTCGCTCGGCCGCGCATCGCTCACCGAAGGCGCCGATGCGCAGTACACGCTGGCGCAGGAGCACCCCTTCGACTCGGCCACCAAGCGCATGACGAGCATGTACCGCAGCCGCGCCGAGCCCGACGTGTACCGCCTATTCATGAAGGGCGGCCTCGACCGTGTGCTCGAGTGCTGCACGGGCCTTCGTCGCGACGACGCCACGGTGCCGCTCGACGACGCTCTGCGCGCCGACATTCGCGCACAGATGCGGCGCATGGCCTCCAAGGGCCTGCGCGTCTTGGCGTTCGCACAGCGCCGCGTCGGCGCGGCCGACATCGACGACGCCAAGGACAAGAAGGAGGCGCGCGGCGAGCTCATGGCGCGCACCGAGGCCGAGTGTCACTTTGACTTTGTGGCCCTCGCCGGCCTGTACGACCCGCCGCGTCCCGAGACGGCCGGCGCCGTCGCCACGTGCCACACGGCCGGCATCTCCGTCATCATGGTGACGGGCGACGAGCAGGCCACGGCGCACGCCATCGCCCTGCAGGTCGGCATCCTGCCGGACCTCGCCACGCACTCGGCCGAACACATCGACGCCCTCGTCACCAACGCCACACGCTTCGACGCGCTCACCGACGCCGACATTGATGCGCTCGAGTCGCTGCCGCTCGTCATTGCGCGCTGCACGCCGCAGACCAAGGTGCGCCTCATCAAGGCGGCGCGCCGCCGCGGCATGCGCGGCGCCATGACGGGCGACGGCGTCAATGATGCCCCGGCGCTCAAGAACGCCGACATCGGCGTCGCCATGGGCTCGGGCACGGACATTGCAAAGGACTCGTCGGCGCTCATCATCACCGACGACTGCTTCAGCAGCATCACCGAGGGCATCCGGCAGGGCCGCTGTGTCTTTGACTCGATCAAGAAGGTGCGTCGCTGCGTCGCTCGCCGATGCGCCTGTCCCTTGCTCACCCTCTCGCCCACAGTTCCTCGTCGCGCTGCTCGTCGTCAATGTCGCAGAGGTCATCCTGTTGCTCATCGGCCTCGCCCTGCGCGACAATGCGCCCGACCCGGAGAGCATCTTCCCGATCGCGCCGCTCGGCATCTTGTTCCTCAACCTTCGTGAGTGTCCATCCTACGCGGCTCCGCTCTTCGCTGACACGCGCTGCAGTCGTCGGTCTTCCCGCCATCGGCCTCGGCTTCGAGCTGCCGCAGCCGGACCTGATGCGCCGCAAGCCGTCCAAGGAGTCGGCGTTTAGCCGGCAGGTCATCTTCGATCTCTTCGTGTACGGCTCGACGATGGGCGTGCTCTGTCTCGCCGTCTTCGTCGCGATGATCTACGGCGTCCACGGCGGCGAGCTGGGCGTCGAGTGCAACGAGACGCTGCACGAGGGCAGTGCCACGCTCGCGGGCGTCTGCGACGGCGTCTTTGAGGCGCGCGCGGCGACGTTCAGCACGCTCTTCTTCCAGGCCATCTTCATCACGTGGGAGCTGCTCAGTATCGAGGAGAGCTTCTTCACGCTGCACCCCGTCCAGCGGCTCAAGCAGAACCCCTTTCTGCTCTGGAGCGTCGTCGTCGGCATCGCCATCGTGCCGTTCAGCGTGTACGTGCCCGGCTGGCGCGACGTGCTCAAGCATGCGCCCATGAAGGGCGCCGCATGGGGCCTCTGTCTCGCCGGCGTCGTCATCTTCCTCGCCGTCGTCGAGGCGTGGAAGATGCTGGCGCGCCGCGGCCGCTGGCCCTGGCTCACGCGCGTCTCGGGCGGCGGCGACGGCGTGCAGTGGCGCAAGATGAAGGCGGCCGAGGCCGCCGAGGCTGCAGCCGCCGAGGTGTCCGGCGAGAAGGCCTGAGTCGCCCTCTGCCACCACCCTACTCGCATCCATGTAGCAATGCCTCCGAAGCGATGCACTCTCTCCCATGTAGCAATGCCTCTGAATCGATTGCAACCCTCTCATCGCTCCGCCATCGCGTTTTGGTGGCGACGTCAACTAGGCTGCTGCCACGGCGGAGCAGTTCCGTTTGCTCGCTGCGAGCCGTCTGGTGAGCTGAAGGTCGCTGGTGGCGTCCTCGGAAGTGACCTCGGTTATGGCGGAAGGGACGAGTCTGCCTCGCTCGTCAAGAAGCCCGCACGCGCCTCGGTGCATGCCGGAATCGCAGACTGTCGGCCTGGCGAATCTCGAGCAGGCCCGGCTTGCCGTCGAGACCGTATGTGCCGAGCAGCTGGATGAGCTGCAGCGACGGGACGGTGACTACGAATCGGAAGGGCGCAGGAACAGCAGAGCGCAGCAAAGGTGCGCCTGCGGCTGCGGCACTTGGATGAGGCAGCGGACCTTGCGCAGGACCTGTTGATGCGGCCTTCATCTCCAGTCCGCCTGCGCTAGGTGTGTGACGCCGCTAGTTGTGACGAGCGTGAGCCCTCTCGCAGAACGCAGATACGAGGAGATGCCGCTGGGGCCGGTGATGCATGCAGAGGATGGCGAGACACCTCAGCGCAGTCGCGATTGTAGAGCAGCGTGCCGGAGAGAGCCGAGACGTCAAGGTGCCGGACGCTGCTGACCGGACAAGCACTGGTGCGGCGACGCCTCAGTTTCTTTCGGGGACAGGCGATGGATACATCACTCACCGCAAGGGCGGCGCTCGCAGCAGTAGCGACGCTCATCTCACGTGGGCCTTGGAGCGCCGCGCCGGCAAGCTCAGTGAGAAGCGCACGCGTCTGAGCATCGTTGCCCGGCGAGCGCTTGTGAATGCTAGCACAGATGGCCGCGAGAGCATCCGAGGGGCCCGCGCCTGTTCCTGCCAGCCTCTCGAGCGTAGCTGCCCAGTAGAGGTCGCTTGCACGGCCCAAAGCCTGCTCCGCGGGCGACACCGCAGCAGGAGCGCCGGCCGGAGCGTCGTGCTGCCACGAGCATCCCTTGCGGTCCTTCATGCAGGCCGCGCATCGCACAGCTGCGCTCTTGCGCTGGCGGCCTGTCTCTGCCGCAGGCATGCAAGCCTCTGCTCGGTCTAGCTTGCTGCAGAGCGTGCACGGGTGATCCGGGCGCAGCGCGCTGCTGGGCCATGCGTGCAGAAGCGCGCCCAGGTCAGACGGGAGATGCAGCAGAGCTTGCGCGCCCTTTTCGCCAAGCGGGACAGCGGCTGCGAGGCGGAACTGCTGCACAGCGAGCGAAGGCAGGCCGGGGCCCAGTCCGGATCGCCAATAAGCGGGCAGATGGTCGACCGGCTCTGCACTTGCGGCCTCCGACGATTCGGCCTTCCACGCGTGCCAAAGCAGCTGCTCTGCCGAGACCCAGTCTATGCCGTCGGCATCGCCGAGCATCGCGGCTCGTCTGCGTTCACTGCGCATGCGCGTCACCTGCAGTACGCGGTCGATGGACGCAACGGAAAAGAAGTCGGCCGCAAGCTTGAGCGAGCCTGAGCGATTCCGGACCTGGACACGGATCAGTACCGCGTGTGCTCCAGCCGATACGCCGCACTCACCTGGTGCCAGCAGCCCGCCGGCACGAAGACGGCGTCGCCTCGTCGCTGAGTCACGCAGAGAGGAGCAACGCCTGTGCGGTCCCTCAGGCGCGCCACATCGTCGTCCGACATGTCGACCATGATGTTCATGCCCTGAAAGGCGCCGGCCAGGTCCTGTCTCGACTCGAGGAACGCAAGAACCGCGCTGCAGTGGCGCGCGCCGTAGATGAGCCACTCAGCCTCGCCGTCGCTTGTCATGATGTTGACAGCGTCGCACGCGTCGAGGTGCAGGCTGGTGGCAGCCGGTGTTCCTGATGCCGGGGCTTGTCCGGCGAAGAGAGCCGGGCCGCCGAGTCGACGGCGAGCGCCGTCGGGCAGGCAGCGGAGAAGATCCAGACCGCCGTCGACGAGGCTTGGAAACGGCAGCAGTGACCAAAAACTGGCGCAGAAGCGCTCGACGTCCTCGGCAGGCAGCTCGTCCAAGGCCGGCCAGTCGCGGAGGTAGAACGCGGGCTTCGCTCCGGCGTACGGAAGCTCCAGGCGGCGGAGAAGGTCGGCGACAGAGAAGCCGGCGCCCGGCAGATCGTCTGCAGCCACCGCCCATCTGGCAAAGTCGTCCACGAGGACAAGCTGCTCGTCGCGCGGCGGAACATAGGAGTAGGGCACGCAGCTGATTCCCGGCGAGACTGACGACGACGCCTCGCCGCCGAGGACGAAGGGTTCTCCGGCGAGCCAGCGCAGGTGGGCGGCGGCGGACGCGCTGAAGGTGTACCGGTACTCCGCGCTGACGGGCTCTGCCGTGCAATGCGAGCGCAGCAGCACGGACAGCGGCGAGGCACTGGCCATCTCGAGCGCCTGCAGCTCGGTCTTGAGCTCGTCGAGGGGCATGCGCGACGTGGGCCTCAGTGCTGCGGGAACGTGCAGCGGGTGTTCGGAGGGCCTGCCCTTGCTGCTACGCGCCCGCTTCTTTCTCCTGCCGTTCTTGCGGCAACGCAGTCGGGCAAGGCTTTGCGGCAGCTGTCCGTCCGGGTCCGCCTTTAGCGCTTCGAAGCACTCGATGCAGAAGGCGGCATCGCAGCTGGGGCAGTCGTACGACGTGAAGAGGATGCCGATGCGGCAGCCATCGCAGTCCTCTGCCTTGTCGTCTGACCAGGCGGGCTCGCGCGCATCCGTCGGCGCATCGCCAAGGTGTGCGAGCTCCCGCTTGAGGATGGACACCAGCGCCGGTGCGACCGCAGCGCGCTTGAGTGCACAGACGAAGGCACTGGCCTGCGACGGCCAGGGGCCGTACGGCGAGGAGGCAGGGCCGGCCATGCCGGTGTTGAGGCGCGGAGCGGAGGCCGTGGTGGGAGGAAGCTGCCGCGCATGCGCAGCGGACTGCGGCTGCGCGTCGCGCGAGCGTTGGAGCGACGGCCGTCGCTGCAAGCTCCGCGCGACGGCCGTCGCTGTAAGCTTCGCGCGACGGCCGTCGCTGCAGCTCTTCGCGCGACAGCCATCGCTCCAACGCTCGCACGACGGCAGTCGCTTCAACGCTCGCGCGACGGTCCGCTTGCGCGACTGCGTTCTCGCGCTGTTTCCAGCGGCCCGTCGACCGGCGCCGCAGCAGAGCGGCCCCTATTGGTGCTCAGCATGCCGGTCAAGCTGCGCCGCGATGCGCTCCGCCTCTCGATGCGCCTCGCTCGGTACCTGGCCTACGCACGCCCAACGCCGCCGCTTCGGCTGCCGCTCGGCTCGCCGACTATGGATGCGCTGCGACCAGCAAGACTCCATCTCGCCGACAGGCTTTGCAACTGCGGGGCGCCTGCAAGTGGGCGCTGCGAATCGCGCACCGCTGACTTGAAGGGCAGCCGTGCCGCGACCAGCAGGCGCGGCATCGTGCTGCACGGGCGTTCGCACGACGTGTGCACCGAAGCGCTCGCAGTCGTCGGCATGCGCGTCCTTTGCTGCAAGGCCGTGCCAGCTACGAGGACGATCGAGGGGCCTATCATTTCACGCGCTCGTGTGCATGGTGTGGAGCACGTATCCTCGAAGGCCCTCGCTCACTGCCCATCGAGGTTAGCCTCCGTTGCGGCGACAGCTGCGACAGCCTCACCGGCGGAGCAGCAGCCGCAGCGACGTGGCCATGGCAGACGTCAACACGTCGCCCAGCAACGGCAAACAGCAGTGCGTGTGCACGCCAAGCGTCCTCGCCTGGCCGGCTTGGTGAGGGCGAGGCGTGCGCTGCGAGGCGCTGCTGAGCTACGGCGCCGTATCAAAGATGCCGGAGCGAGGGTGCGACGCTGTGCGCCCCCGCTGCGGCCTTCTCTGCCTGTGCTGCTGCGGCCTGCTCAGCTGCTACGGCTGCGGCACAGAGCTTTCTGACTGCGACGCTCGCTGCGAGAGCTTGGCTGGCAGCTGTCTGCCCAGTCAGACGACGCGCAGCACGCACTACGCTGCGCAGACGGCTCGCCCGTGGCTGCCGCAGCGCGGCGCGACGTGCCGCCGCTGTGCGCCGCCGCTGAGTGCTGTCGCTGCGCTGCTGCTGCGTCCGCTGCGAGGCTGGTGCTCGTGGTGCGGACGCATAGGTACGCTGGGAGGGTGAGCCACGGCCTCGACGCACGTGCCATCCGATCGCTCGGTGCCGCCGCGGATGTCGTGCGACGCCTCCACATCGCACGCCGGCCACAGCAGCCGCCACGCCGCGATGCCGCCGCGGCGCCGCGCGCCCGCCGCGCCCTTGCCTCCCGCCCACCACCGCACTTCACACTATCCCATCCCCATCCCACCATGTCCACCGCCGGAAAGACCATCACCTGCAAGGCCGCCGTCGCGTGGGAGGCGAGCAAGCCGCTGTCGGTCGAGGAGATCGAGGTGCTGCCGCCGCGCGCGGGCGAGGTGCGCGTGCGCGTCACCTACACCGGCCTCTGCCACACGGTGAGTGGCACGGCGGGGCCGGGCGGGCGATGCAAGACGCAGGTGGGGGCGCAGCGTGTCGCAGCAGCTCGGGCGTGCGGCCTGAGGGGCCAGGCGGCGGGCGTGCTGGACGGGTGCGCAGCGCTGGCACGCGCCGCTGAGCGCCCGACGTGTGTAGGCCGTGTCTGCCCCAGCACTGCCGCTGCAGTGGCCGTTTCGCTGCCGCCGCAGAGCGCCCAACGTCTTCAAGGCTGCGCTGCGGCTGCTGCAGCACTACCGCCGCAGTTGCTCAGGCCAGTCCGCTGCCACTGCCGCAGTTGGGCCTCTGGCTGCCGGGCCGTTGGCTGATCTCTGCGCGCAGGACTACTACACGCTCTCGGGCAACGACCCTGAGGGCGCGTTCCCCTCGATCCTCGGCCACGAGGGCGCCGGTATTGTCGAGTCCGTCGGCGACGGCGTCGAGGAGTTCAAGGAGGGCGACTCGGTGAGTGGCGCCGCGCGCGGCCCTGGTTCCCCCCTCCCCGCCGTCTCTGACGCAGGGCTGTAGGTGATCCTGCTGTACACCGCCGAGTGCAAGCAGTGCAAGTTCTGCAAGTCCGGCAAGACGAACCTCTGCCAGGCGATCCGCGCGACGTCGGGCCAGGGCGTCATGCCCGACAAGACGGTGCGCTTCCGCGCACGCGGGCAGGACATCAAGCACTTCATGGGCACGTCGACGTTCTCGCAGTACACCGTCGTGTCGCAGCACTCGCTCGTCGCCGTCGACCCCAAGGCGCCGCAGGAAAAGACGTGCCTGCTCGGCTGCGGCGTGACGACGGGCTACGGCGCGGCGACAAACACGGCCAAGGTCGAGGAGGGTGCGACGGTCGCCGTGTTCGGCATCGGCTGCGTCGGCCTGGCCGTGCTCGAGGGCGCCAAGGCGTGCAAGGCGTCGCGCATCATCGCCATCGACATGAACGACGGCAAGGAGGACTGGGCGAAGCGCTTCGGCGCCACCGAGTTCATCAACCCCAAGAAGCTCGAGCGCAGCATCGTCGAGGAGCTCGTCGAGCGCACCGACGGCGGCCTGGACTACACGTTTGACTGCACGGGCAATGTCGACGTCATGCGCCAGGCGCTCGAGGCGTGCCACAAGGGGTGAGTGTGGGCGCGCGCCGGGCAGGGCCTGTGCTGACGCGCCGCAGCTGGGGCGTGAGCACCATCATCGGCGTCGCCGCGGCCGGCAAGGAGATCTCGACGCGGCCCTTCCAGCTCGTGACGGGGCGCAAGTGGCAGGGCACGGCGTTCGGCGGCACGTGAGTGGTGCAGATGCGCAGCCGGCGAGCGGGCACTGACGCACGCACAGCAAGGGCAAGACGGAGCTGCCCGGCCTCGTGCAGAAGGTGAGCCCGGATGTGCAGGCGTGATGGCGTCGCTGCTGACGCTGCGAGCAGTACCTCGACGGCAAGTTCAAGATCGACGAGTACATCAGTGCGTCACCCCACCCCCCCTCCTTCCCCTTCGCGGCTTCCCGCCCGCTGACCGCCCACAGCCCACACGACGACGCTCGACGAGCTCAACAAGGGCTTCGACTACATGAAGGCGGGCGACTGCGTGCGCTGTGAGTCGCACGCGCTGCCGCACCGGGCCCTCGCTGACGCCCCTCCAGGCGTGGCCAACATGCAGTGAGGCCCCGGCACTCGTGCTACCCATTGTGAATGCATGACATCTCGCCATTCACACCCGCCAAGCATGAAGCATCTCATCTATCGCGGCGTGTTCTCTCTGCCTATCTCGCATCTTCCGACGCTGTCATGCGTCGTCGTCATTCTGCGTGATGCTGGTACCAGCATTTGCTGCCGTCTCAACCAGCCAGCTGCTCGTGCGGGCAGTCATGGCTGTGTCGTCGAGAGAATGCGCAATGGACGCCGAGAGCCGGCGCGATAGAGGTGGCGAGCGCTGAGAGCAACGCAGCGGGCACGCAGATTCCTTCTTGCTCGTTCTCTGCGCTCGGCGTCGGGCATTCCTGCCTGTGAGTCCTCCATGCGCGCTGGATGCGGGGCTCCACCATGCGAGAATGGCGCGTTGGAGCGAGAGCCCCGTTTCGCCGGCGGCACGGCCTGCACACCTTGACTCGGCGACCGCGCCGAGCTGCGACGCACGGGTGTCTGGCGGCACCCGCTGGCCTGACCTCGGAGCACGCCGGGGTGTGACAGGTGGCACAGCAAGGGTGCAGCGTGGGCGGTGCTGAAGCACAGCTTGGAGCGCTGCCTGCGCGGGCCCCGACGGCACGATGCGCCGGCGGTCGGCGGCGCTCGCTGGGCTGACGTGTGCGCACCGCCTCGGGGGCGCCGCGGGAGCTGCCTCGGGCTGCGCACCATCGCTGTCGCCATGCCGGCATCGCACGAGATTTGGCAGATGCGGCAGCACGCGCGGCGTTAGCGCAAGCCACGCGCGCCGGTGCCAAGAGCGGGCGACGGCGCTAGCACGCACCCACGAGGCCGGCCGCAGCAGCGCCGAAGCTTCTGCGCCTCGAGCACGCCTCCTGGCGCCCGTCGATGCTGTGCGCCGCACTACTGCATCTGCGCCGCAGCCGCTGTCACCGCAGCACCAGCGAGTCGCCGGTCCCGGCTGCAGCCTGTGCATGTGCGTCGGCGAGCCAGCATTCATCCGCAAGGGTCGGACAAGCGCAGCATTCAGCAGGCGGGAGCCTCTCTTGCGGGGCTTGGAAAATAGCTCCGAAGCCTGTCCGCCGTTTGTCCGGCGGCGGCGATGAGGCGCACGTTGTGCATGTGCGAATGAAGGGTGACGTGAACGAGATGTGGCGCGCCAGGGGCGCTCGAGGAACAAACGGAACGCGCCAGATGAGGACAGCGCGCGCTGATGGGCTTGGCAGGACGAGAGGCGGTGGCCCGATGGCCGTGCGAGGGAAACGATGACGAGGCCAAAGAAGCTGGCCCTCGTGGTGCACCGAAGCCGGCGGCGGCGCCTTTCCTGCTCAGCGCGCTGGCGAGATCGCTGACAGCAGCGCTTGCTCTGGGAGCCTCCGGTCCGGCTTGCCCGCCGCACGCGGCTCCTGCGCTAGCACACACAGGGTCGCCTTGTGCAGCACGCCGGCCAGCGCAGACAGCACGGGAGCGGAGCGGGAGCGCTGTCCCCAAGACTTCGCTGGAATGCGCTGACGCTGAATGCTGAGCACCGGCGGCGGCGGCGTCTCTTCATGCCGCCCGTGCCCGCGACGCTTAGCGCCCTCGTGCGGTCTTGGCGCGGCGCGTGCGCTCCTCCCGAGAGGGGGCCCTGCTGGAGGCACAGAATGGTGTGCGTGGCCATCACGCATGCAGCAGGTTGCCCTGGGCGCTGGCCGGGAGCATCGCAGGCGCTATTTGGAGGCAGCAGGTACCCTCGCGGGCGCAGCCGGCCCCTGAGCGGCGCAGAGACGCCGTGCGCTTTGCCCCTGTTGCTTGAGTATCGCAGCTTCTTGCGGCACCGACGCCAGCCACAGGAGCAGGAGCGCGCATGTGGCGCCCGCAGGCGGCACAGTGAGGGCGCTGTGCGACACACAGGCGGGCCCCTGGGGGCGGGCGCCGCACGTTCGCGCGCTGCGGAAAGCGGAGGGTCGGGAGCGGTGCGAGGTGACGCTGCGGCGGCGCACTCCGCTTGCGGCGCCGCCCTCGCGCGCGTTGCCCGTGCTATTTTCGCGGGCCCGAGGCTGAGCAGAGTGAGATCTCCAAGTCGCCGGGCGCCGGCGGCTCTGCCTGGCGTGCAACAGGCAGCGGCGGTGCGAGTCTCGGGAGCGTGCTGCCGCTCTGCATCTGGCGCTGGCGCGGTGCCCCTCTCTGGGGGCTGGCGCACGTTGCCGCCAGCACGGCAGCGCTCCTCAGCGTGCAGCTCTCCTGCCGCCGCGTGCCGCCGAGCTGCAGGCTGGCGCGCCGGCGGCAGCGCTTGCTTGCCTCACCGCCGCCGCACCGCCACCGCCGCCCGCCCGCCAGCGCTGCACCGCCTTATCGCCCTCCGCCGACGCAGCACGCCGCACCGCACCGTCACGCATGCGCAGCGGCCGCTGCCAAGCCAGGCCAGCCTCCGGTCACGCACACTAGCGCGCTCGCTGCTGGAGAGTCGGAGCACCGCCCGGTGCGCATGCGTCGTCCTCTCGCGCACCCCTCGGAGGGCGAGATGAGCTGCGCCCGCGCCGCGCCCACAGCCAAGTGCCGCCGCCGTCGTCACTCGGGCGGCCCGGATTAGCAGATCTCACGCATCAGGGGCCCAGCCGCCGAGTGCCGGGCTGCCAGAGCATTCACTTACTGTAGCCAAGGCGCCGCGTCGGGCACAAACGGGCACCATGGCAGTGCAGAGAGGCGCACGCCCGCACGCTGCAGTTCACCTCTCCGCCGCCTCTCGCGATTGCAGCGATGGTGGTGTGAGAGGAGCACATCGAGACGCCGCCGCCGCAGCACCGCTCCGGTCCATGCAGCATCACATGAGGTGCCGCTGGGCAGGCCGGCACAGCAAGAGGGCGCCGAGGCGGCGCCGTGCCTGCGCTTGCTCGATGGGGCAGGCCTTGGCCCCGGCCGTTCGTTCATATAGACGCATCGCAACGGCTCGCCATCGCCAGATGCCCACGCCCGTCTCCGCATCAGTAGCCCCGTCTCTCTTCTCCACCGCCGCCGCATCCTCAACCCGCTTGCCTCTCGTTCACGACTCTCGCCACGCATATCAAGCCCTACACCAGCGCCGGGGACGCGTCCCGACGCCTGCTCCACACCCACTCGTCTCTCTTCTTCTCACCCTAGCTCGCCGCCGCGGCCGCCGTCTCCGTCGTCATGAGCGCTCCGTCTGATGCGCAGACGCCGGCCATCGCCGTGCCGGCGCCCGTCGTGACGCGCGCCCGCTCGCTCACCATCGACACCGTCGCCGCCGCACCGCTCAGCAACGTGTCGGCGCAGCAGTCGCCCACGGCCACCATGAACAACTCGCCGAACCTTGGCAGCGCCAGCGCCGACGCACCTGCGGCCACTGGCGACGTCGAGAAGCAGACGCCGCCGCCGACGCAGCCGGCGCAGTCACCACCGGCCGGCTCCAGCGCCAGCTCGTGCTGCTCCGAGGACCGCATCCGTGGCTTCGGCGACGTGCGCGAGGCCGCGTACCTGGTGCGTGCACATCGCAGCGCCTCTCTCCCACACCGCTGACCCCGCTCTCCACAGACATGGCAGCGCCAGCGGCGGCATCTCTTCACCGCCTGGGTGCATGTGCCGCTCGGCGTAATGAGCCTGCTCGTCTTCACATGGGCGATCAACCTCGGCATGCAGGCCGCGCCGTTCCGCTTCCCGGCTGCCGTGATTGCTGCATTCAGCCTCTTCGTCTTCCTGCTGCTCCTCGACTGGCTCTCATCGCGCTTCCCCGGCGCACGCCAGGACGACGCCGAGCAGCAGAGCGAGAAGCCGCAGCGCAGGAGCAAGCGCTTCATCGAGCCGTGCATGAAGCTGCTCGCACCTCCTTGCGACTTTTGCCTTCGCAACATGTCGGTAATGTTCACGCCGTCCTTCGTGCTAATTCCCGCTCGCGAGATCATCGACGGCAAGGAGATCGGCCTGATCATCGGCTGGTTCGCCGCAACGCAGATCCTCGCCTTTGTGCTGCCCGTGTACTTCACACGCGGCATCAACTGGCTCTGGACGCTGCCCGAGGACCTCAAGGCGCGGCGCCAGGCGGCCAAGTGGGAGGCGAAGCGCAAGGAGATCGTGCGCTCGCGCCGCAACAGCGCCGTCGAGGCCAGCCGGCGCGGCAGCACGGCCACGATGCACGACGCCGCCCGCCGCGGCAGCACGGCGACGCTGGCCGGCCTCGAGTTCGAGAAGGGCGTCGCCTTCTCGGGCGGCAGCCGCCTCGGCGCCGTCGCCAGCGGCCTCGCCGGCATCACTGCCACCGTCACGGCGCCCGTCGCGCACGTCAATATGGCCATCGAGGAGGACGAGCAGCGCCACATGGACGCCGTCATCATGGAGCAGGCACGCCAGCAGGGCGAGCCGTTCGTCACGTCGGCCGACTCGGCCATGTCGTTTGGCAACTTCAGCCCGCGCTCCGACGTCTCGTACTTCAGCCACCCGCACCATCGCCACCACCACCACCACGACCGCGAGGGCCGCCGCGAGCACCGCGACGGCGAGCCGCGTTCGGCTCGTTCCCGCTCGCGCACGCGCGACTCGCGCCGCCCCGGCAGTGCCAGCCGCCCGAGCAGCGCCGGCCGTCCGGTCAGTGCTGGCCGTCCTGGCAGTGCCGGAGAGGCGCACAGCGCCCGCCCGTCGACGCTCAGCCGCGCCGGCACGAGCTTCCTTGGCAACATCAAACGTCCCGGCAGTTCCGGCAGCGGCAAGCGCCCCGGCAGCTCGGGCGCCGACGGCGAGCCCGACATGGTCGACAAGCAGACACCGGCACTGCCGTCGAGCGTCGCGCAGTCTTCGCTCGCACCGACGTCCGGCCGCTTCTCCTCCGCCGAGTACCGCTTCCCGAGCCCGCTGCCGACGCCGCAGATGCCCTCGATGGCCTCCGTCGCCTTTGAGTTGCACCTGCCCACCGCTGCCTCGTTCCGCCGCGCCGAGAACGGGCCGTCGGAGATCGATGTGGTGCGCGAGGAGTCGACGAGCCCGTCGGCCTCGGCCACGACGACGGCCAACAACTCGCGCCGCCAGTCGCTGATGTACAGCAACGGCGAGGCGCTCGACCGCCGCGGCTCGGAGATGAGCAGCGGCGGCGCGACGCTCTACGCCCTCGACTCGAAGCACTCGGCCAACAAGCTCGCGCTGCAGAAGAGCAACGTCGAGCAGCAGCCGGCCGACAACCACGACGACGCGGCGAGCGAGTGCAGCGACGACGAGGAGGACGCCGTCGAGCGCCTCGCGTCGTGGTTCGGCGATCTCATCACGCCGGCGTTCTACTTCCTCGTCTTCCTCATCGGCATTCCGCTCTGGTTCGCGGCCGACATCGCGCTGCCCCTCTTCCTCGGCATCAACTTGCTCACCTTCCTTGCCGCCATCACCATCGTGCCGCCGAAGATCCGCCGCTTCCTGCACCCGATCCTCAGCACGAGTCTGGCGACGGTGCTCATCATCTGGGCCTTTGGCGCCATGCGCGGGCTGAGCATCAAGGAGACGCTGGCCTACTACTCGCGCGACGCCAAGTACACGGTGCTCTGGTCGCTGCAGGGCTACAGCGGCCCGATCCCGGGCGCCGGCGACATCCTCTTCAGCACGCTCGACGCCGGCGTCGTGTCGCTCGCGGTGCCGATGTACCGCTACCGCAAGGACCTCAAGGCCAACTTCTGGCGCATGCTCTGCGCGCTGCTGCCGTGCGCGGCGCTGTCGCTCTTTGTCTGGCCCTACCTCGCCTACCTCATGGGCATGAACCGCGTCCACTCGCTCGCCTTTGCCGCGCGCTTCATGTCGACGCCGCTCGCCATCGAGCTGGCGACGAACATCGGCGCCGACCAGTCGATCACCGTTATTCTCGTCGTCGTCACGGGCGTCATCTACGCCATCGTCAAGGAGCCCGTGTTCCGCTGGCTGCGCGTCACCGACGACATGGTCGTCGGCATCACCATGGGCAGCACGGCCGGTGCCATCGGCGCCTCGTCGCTCATCTCCAAGCCGCGCCAGCTCGCGCTTGCCAGCCTCTGCTTCATCATGTGAGTCTCTCGTCGTCCGCTCCGCACACGAGCATTCGCTAACCTCCTTACCCTGCAGCTTTGGCGCGATGCTCCTCATCGCCACTGCCATTCCGCCCGTCGTTCAGCTCGTTCAGAGCCTGGCTGCCTGAGCCCACTCGTTACCACTTCGTTCCTTGCCCGTCACACTTCATCTCCCTTGTACTTTTACTGCATCACCGCGGGTCCGCGCCGCGCCCTAGACATCTGCCAATAGCGACGTGGTCATCTGTAGCCAAAGGCAAGCGTGCGAGAGACCGACTGCGCGCGAGCGCACACGATCAGCAAGCCACTGAGACGATGGAGATGAGACGCGACGGAGGAGGCCCCGGCACTCGTGCTAGCCATTGGGAATGCATGACATGACACGACGCACGGCTGGTATACAGGAAGAATCTAGAAGAGCGAGTTGTCCGCGCAGGTGAAGGGGCCCTCGACGCCCGGCTGGCTGAACACCTCTTGCAGGCCGACGACAGCGACCCACATGCCCGCGCCGTTCATGAAAAGCGCGATGCAAATGATGACGGCATTGAGGGGAATTAGCAGGCCCTTGTCCCACCTTGACCACGTCTTGCGCGTGCGCAGGCGGTCGAAGTAGAAGACGGCCGAGATGCCAAAGGTGAACCACGCGATGAAGAGCGCCGAGGAGACGTCGAGGATGCTCGAAAAGGCGGGGATGGCGTTGCAGAGGACAAACGCGACGATCCAGAACGCCGAGGCGCAGCCGACCCAGGTAGCCCAGGAGCGCCTCGTGTTGCGAGTCGCCTCGTGGGTGGCGTGCTGCGCCTGCAGGGCGACGACGTACATGTACTTGATGGCGCAGTGTGCTGCAGATGGAGCGTCAGCGGTGCGCAGCACTCTGCCTCGACAGACCACCCACCGAAGACGACGCCCGTCGCGAGCAGCGCCGGCAGTGCGATGCCGTAGGCGACCTTGGCGACCGTCACCGAGGCCGAGCCGAGCGCCGGCGAGGTGACGAGGTCGCCAGCAAGGCAGTAGATTGCAATCGCAATCACGACGTACAGCGAGATCGACGCAAGCTGCAGGATCGTGAGGGCCGGAACGAAGTCGCGCGAGGGGTCGCGCATCTCGGTGAACACCGACACGAAGCCCGAGTTGCCGGCGTAGGCGTACGCAATGTTCAGGCACGCCGAGAGGCCCTGGCGGAACGTCGGGTTGCCCGCGACGACAATCTCCGGCTCCCATCCGGGCGGCTGGCCTTGCGGGCCCGTCACGCCGAGGCCGATCGTCGTGATGAGCACGGCGGCAACAATCGACACCTAGCAGCGGTTCAGGTCAGGACCAGCAGCACCTGTGCGGAGCTGCGCAGCTCACCGTCGACGGGATCCCGACCTTGGCGACAAATTTGAAGGTCCGTGGCAGACAGAGCGCCCAGCAGACGAGCATCACGAGGCCAATCCACAGCACAGTGCACGCGGCGTGCTCCGAGATTGTGTTGAGGGCGATGCTCAGCGTCACACCCGCCGAGGCGCATGTCAACGCAAAGTTGAGCACGAAAGAGACGCCGACGACGATCTGCAGCGGGCGGCCGCCGAGGACCTTGGCCATGTCGACGAGGTTGAGCACGTGCGGGTGCGCGCGCCAGTACTGCAGCAGCTCGTACGCCGTGTACGTGCTCAGAAGGCCGATGCTGCGTGTGCGGCGTCAGCGGTGTCCCGTGTCCAGCGCCTGCGCATGTGCTCACCCGATGATGGCGATGACGCCGGGCACGATGCCGAGGATGCGCAGCGCGTTGGGCAGCGACAGGATGCCGAGGCCGACCTGGTTGGTGAAGAGCACGACGGCCGTCTCCCAGCGGCCGAGCGTGCGGAACGAGCCGTCGCCGCCGAACATGCCCTCCTCGTCGGAGGCAATGGCGCCGGCGGCGGAATAGCCGACCGTCTCGACGACGCCGCTGTCGCGCTTCTCCTTGGGCGCGGCGGCGTGCGGGGCGGGCACCTCGACGTCGGACGCGGGCGCCTCGACGTCGGATGCGGAGGATTGTGAGGGCGGTGAGCGCTGCATGCTGGAGAAGAGTAAGAGTGTGACGAGAGCGGTCGCCTTGTGCATCGAGCACCGCCTTTTGAGCCACTCACATCCCCTGCGCCCCGTTCTTGGCAAGGGCCCGCTTGCGCTCACACGAGTCGTGTGTGCGCTCGATAAGAGCGGGACCCACTTGGCGTCGGTGCGGTGTCCTCGTGGTGCCGTGCGGGGAGACGGCTGCGATAGACGGACGACTGGCTGCGGCGCCCCGCCGGCGCAGCGCACAAGGCTTGGCTCGGCGCCGTGCCGCGGCGGCGTGCAGCGGCGGTAGGTCCTCTCCATCTGTGCGCTCGCCAGGCAGCGACGTCTGAACGCCAGGCGGCTGTCTGAGCGGCGCATGATGTACCGCAGCGCCGAGAGGCGCCGCAGGCGATGCCGTCGTGTACCGTGGGACGCTGACGCGGTGGCTGGCAGCTAGCGTGCCTTGGGCGGTGCGACGGCCACAGCGCAGCGCCGCCGGGCAGGGCGCCAGCGCGGCGACCAGGATTCTGACGGACCGACGTGTGCGGTGAGAGCGCGAGAGGTGCCGCATGGCAGCGGCGCGGTCGGGCGCGCGAGAGAGCGAGCCAAGCCGCGCGCCAAGGCCGCGCCGAGATCTGGCGTGGCGGCTCTGCTCCGCGGCCGCCGCGCTTGAACGCCGCGGCCGCCGCGGCCGCCATGCGACGCGCGAAGCTTGGCGCGTGTTGCTCTCTCGCTCTCACCTCCACCCCCTTGCCTCTCCCGCTGCGTTGCCCTCTCCCTCTCGCCTCCTCCCTCGTCCACGCGTGTCCTTCTTCTCATGACGCTCTCCTCCTCCTCCGACGCCGCCGGCCCTTCCTCGCTGCGCGTGCCGAGCGTGCCGCAAACAGCGCAGCAGCAGTCCTACTCCTATGCCTCGCCCTTGCCCTCTCGCTGTGCGAGTGAGCCGTGTGTGCTGGGCGTGGATGAGGCGGGCAGGGGTCCGGTGCTTGGTGAGTCGTGCGCCGTGCAGCGGGCGCACCCGTGCCTGGTCGCTGAATCGCTGTTGCGCAGGACCGCTCGTCTATGGCATCGCATACTGCCCGCTTGCCTTTCATGACCTCGAGCAGGGCGGCCTGCGCGACGTCGGCTTCGCAGGTAAACCTCTGCTCGTGCTCTGCTCTGGCGTCGCCAACGCCTGACGCAACGTTCCCTGCAGACTCCAAGGCACTCACCGCGGAGCGTCGCGACGTCCTCCTCTCCTCGCTGCAGGCCTATCCCCACGAGCTAGGCTGGGCCATCCGCAGTCTCGCGCCGCAGGACATCAGTGCCGGCATGCTGCGTCGACGACCTGTGAATCTCAATGCCCAGTCTACAGACGCTACCGTCAGTCTCATCCAGGACGTGCTCGCCCAGGGTGTCAATCTGGTGCACGTGAGTCTGTCCAGGGGAACAAGCGGAGCGGCCGCATGCGCTGAGCACTGGTGGCAGATCTACGTCGACACAGTCGGCGACCCGGCAGCCTACAAGCGCCTGCTCTCCTCTCATTTCCCAAAGCACATCGAGTGGACCGTCACTTCCAAGGCCGACGCTTTGTTCCCCATCGTCGGCGCTGCATCCATCGCCGCCAAGACGACGCGCGATGCGGCCATGGAAGGCTGGCTGTACGCCGAGGACGTCAAGGGCACGCCCGACGGCTTCTGGGAGACGGGCAGTGGCTATCCTGGCGATCCACGGACGGTGGCATACCTCACGAGAACGCTCGACGCCGTCTTTGGCTGGCCGGGCATCGTGCGCTTCAGCTGGGCGACCATCAAGACATTGCTCGAGGAGAAGGTGCCTCTCAAACGTCCTGCCTCGGCTGTCGAGTCGGCAACATGCACGATTCCTCCTTCTGCCGGCGCGAAGAAGGGCTACGCCGTCAAGTGGAACGACGAGCCCACTCCCATTGCACGCTTCTTCGCTGCCGCTCCCAAGGGCGGCAGCGCGACGGGCGGCAACCTGGCTCCGACTGCGGCGCTCGAGGCACGAGCGACAGTCACGATGGAGAAGGACCGCTCACGCCTGTCGCGCGATCTCGGGCTGCTCAGCGTGGCGGCGCTCTGAGCGCGAAGCGGCGCCGCAGTAGACGATCAGGGTGCTGCCGAGCAGAGGCAGGAGGGAGGGGGAGAAAATGCTCATTTGTATTCCACGCGCCGAGTGAGCGGCTCTCAAGCATGCTGGTCGGCGACGGGCGGCGGTGCACGATACAGAGCGGCGTGCGATGTTGGCTCGCGCACTGGCATACGTGGCGAGCATGTGCAGGCAAAGCGGTGACACACGGCGAGTGGCGGAGGGATGCGGCGCGCCGACGGCGCCTCGAGCGGGCTGAGCAGCGGGCGCCCTTGGCCTCGCGCACGCCTGGCCCTGAGCGGCCGGGCGGCGGCCCCAGTGCAGAGCGGCGGGCGGGCGAGCGACGTCGAGCAGGCGGTGCCGTGCCGAGCAGCGTGCGGCATGGCGAGGCCGTTGCGGTCGGCGGCCTGAAGCGCCGACCTGCAGCCGCAGCGCCGCGAGGAGTGTGCGTGGCGGTGCAGGCCGGACACGGCTGCAGCAGTCGACCTGCGCACCGCAAGCGGCGGCGAAGCGCAGGAGGACGGCCGGCGTGCACAAGGCGTGGGATGGTGGTGGGATGGCGTGGCGGGTGAGGAAGCAGCGCAGGGCATCGCGAGTCGTGTCAGAGTCGAGTAGAGGCGAGACTCTCGCGCGGCGGCAGAGGCATCGGCGGCGGCGCGCGCCGCGCGCCCCCTCTCCCGCAGAGCGGCAGGCTGGGGCCGGGCACGCCGCGCGGGAAGAGGGCCGGACCGCGCGCCGCGCGCCTCGCCCGCGCAGCAGCACGCGGCTGCGGTGGAGCTCTCTGCACGCTGCATCATCACCACCACCCGCTCCGCCGCAGCAACACCAAGCCCACGCGTCTGTCACATGCATGTCCTTGCCGCTGCACAGGCCGAGTGCCTTCTTGCGCAGCTCAGGACCCTCGGCTTCCTCAGTGCGCGGCGCTGCGCCGTCGAGAACTGGGTCGAGAGCGACGCTCCTGCTGCCGCCGAGTTCCGGCATGCCGCCGTCGAGCACGGCAGACTGCACCGCCGTCCGCCACGCTACGACATGGCTGAGGCGCTCAGGCTCTACACGCTGCACACGAGCCCACACGCCAAGCTGCGCAGTCTCCTGCTGCTCTCGGCAGACGGCCGGCTGAATGTGGGCCTCTTCGAGCTGTGGGCCGCGGTTACAAGGCGGTGCCCACCAGGGATGGAAACTACCACTTGGGCAGGTGGTGGAGGCCCCCAGATGCCAGGGATGCTGAAATTTGCTAAGCTTT